CAATATACATATTAAGCATTCAAGCCTCTCATTAGAGCAATTGAAACTTTCACATTTCAATTCAAAAGAAGAGAAAAATTTTGGGACAGGTTAAGTTCGCAGTAAGCTGTTATGCTGCTACCGAATTCCGGCAGCTACTACACTTTGCTGTTAACGACGCATTTATTCAGCTTTTTTTAACACTCATTTTTCTAAATGTCCGTGGTAGTTACAAATGTACTGCTAAGTGCAGAAATCAAACTGAATGACTCCAAGAAGGGATATAAATGATGTGTTATTATTCTTAAATTATTAATAACTTTAAAAAGTGTCTTTGCAGATAACAAAACCAAAGAAACGACAATATGAAATGAACTAGGAAAAATGCTGAGAACGAATCAATCATGTTTTTCCGTAGAGAGAAAAAGAAAAATACCACTTGTTAAAAATGAAGCGTGCTCAGATATTTACCAAACGCTAATTAATCCTAATAATGAAAACACGCAGTCAAAATGCAAAAGTGCAAACTTTGCTCTATTTTGAGCTTCTGAGGTTCGTAAACACAGTGTGAAAAACTGAGGTTGTAAAGATTACCTTAAATATTTTTTTGAAAACTAAAAATAATTTTAAAAAAACGATAGAAATTGATATGCAGAGGAAACGTACTGATCGAAGAGGGTCAAGCACACCATAAGGAGGTGGATGTTCCAAATAATGATGAGATGGCGTTGGTTGTAAAAGTAACCCACTTTCCTGACGCTGTTTTTGCTTTAGGCGGTCGTACTGGTCCTGAATCCTGCAAAAACAGTTGGAAATAAACTAACCGCAAATCAACTGCAGAGCCTTTACCTTTTCCTTTCTTCTTCTTCTTTGAATCGTTGAGAATTTTTAGCATCAACCATATCGGAAGTAGGAGCCTTATCAGGTGAAGAGTCTCTTGACCTAGAGCCGCCCAACTTCAAGCTAATTTTTGACAAGATGTTGCTGAAATGAAGAATCGAGCTATAGGTCTAATTTACATAAAGTGCTGCAATGAAGCTGACAAGCTTATACCCAAACTACGAACTTGCCAACTGACTTCCTTCGCTGTTTCCCCTTAGAAGCCGAGGATGAGCGACACAAAAAAGTGCCATTTTCCTGAAGTGTCCTTTGGCTTTCTTCATCATCTAAATTTATCTGATTGCTTGTAAAAAAACTGTTCATATGCTTTAATAGAGAACAAATGTTTCTGGTTTTAAAAATAACAAGGATTATGATTCGGTGGTGGAATAGAACAATGATGTTTTGACAATAAAAGAAGGAAATGAAAAGTTGAGCCGCTCTTCGACTATTACCTGGTTGAAGCGGTGTGTTCCAGCCGGGCTGCCCCAGTACTTTAATCCTACTCGTTCTCTTCACCGCGCTATTTACAGGCCTTTTTGAAGAACCGACTTTTTGAGAGACTCTTTGCCTTAAATCACAATTTACCAAGAAAACATATATAAAAAATTCAAAAGAAAAAACGAAAAATTTACAGAAAAAACTAAATCGGACATACTCTAGTGATCTACGAATCCCCATATTTTCCAGACTGACTGAACGACGCTTTGTTGACGCTTAAATAGTTTGGACCAAAGTTAAAGGAAACATGAGGAACAAACAAAGAAACTGAGGCAAAAGAAATAAAAGACTAAAAAAAAGTAAGTTCGCCGAGTGCCACTGCCAAAATACCAATCCAAAAATATTAAAATAGCACAATATTTCAAACAATGTGACTTCAAAAGCCCCGCCATTTTCCTCTAATCCTTCAAAATTCGCCTGTTCAATGAAATTGAACAAACTGTGTATCAAAAAAGTAAAGAATGAGCAACATTTTGACATAACTTTACCACCTTTACGCCAAAACATAACTTTTAAACTTGGTCGGGTGTGAAAAAATCCTAAATTCGCACTAACAACTTCAATTTATATCTGAGAGTATCCCAAAAATTTAGCTAATTTACCTACCACTGAATAATAAAGAAGTGCACGCAAAAATCGTGCAAAAGCCCCATAATATAACACACTCAAACTGATAAACATAAAAAATTTCAAGATTAATAGCCTCGTGTAATTTGTAACTAAAAACAGCAAACTCGGTCGAAAACAAAAAAAAACAGACCGATTAGCCTAAAGCGTTAACTCCGTAAAATTTCTCCTCTTTTGAAAAAACGACATTAAAACCATGCGAAACTCTATTAAAGCAAGCACTTTTTTCAGTGACAGATGTATGTCTGTTTTTAGGTAAACGGAACTTCTGAAACTAGAGCGACCAGTAATAAAAGTCTCTTCATTTTAGTATGCGACCTCAACTAGGCTCTTGTCATTAGTATCTTTACTTTACCGTATCATAGTCTTTTTTCCAGAATTCCCCTCAATTCTCGGCACTTCAGTTCAGAAGGCCTTCCTTGCTTTACCAACAACTAGCCCTGCCTATTTTCAAAACTTCTTTCCCAGCAATACCTTTCATTGTGACATAAAGAAATTTTTGTAGAATCCCCTGGTTCTTTCTGTTTTTTAAACCTTAGTTCAGTTCCAAAAAATTTTTGAAAATCTTCAAGACATTCTTTGCCACGAACTTTGTCTATGTACTAAAAAGTTTCCGACACTATCTAAAATCACGTAACGAAGTATCCACAATGTGTTCAAACGGTTAGCCAACGGCTAACAACATTTCCGAGGTCAATACTTCAGGTGAAGTTTGGGGCCGAACAATTTGAGGCATCCTATGGCACAGCAAAAGTGCCAAATCAAGAGATTCAAGTCAGTAGGAAAATATAACGAATTAAAACGTACTAGGTATTTTAGAAGCCAAGGTTTCCACACCGGTATCCTTAATTAAACTGACAGGTCCACGAACTAGACCTGACTCCTCTTCTCCTAATGAAGAGGAAGAACGCAACGAAAAACTAAAGTCACACTGTGAAGAATTATAACTTGAAGCAGCCGCACGCAGTGCTGGAGCTAAATAGAAAACTGCTTACACCTAATGTCAAAAAACCTGGTGTTTTTTAAACGTGGAATTGCAGAAGCTATTCCGCTCTATTAACAAAGGAGAATGGTATGATAAAGCCAGTGAAGAACAAAATTGTGTAATTATACCGCTTGTTTGTCTAGAGTGCTTTATCCTCTGAAAAACTGCAGTACGACTTGGATCGTTCGAGGAACCCATATGACGTTTCTCGGATATAGATCTGCATGAAAAGAACAATTGAAAAATAAGCAAGAACGAGTAAACCATAAAACTAGCAAGATTTAAAAGAACTAAAAAATAAAAGGCAACTCCAATCAAACACAAAAATGAGACTGCACCTTCTAGTCGGATTCTCTCGACTAAACACATCCTTATCAACATGACTTAATTCATCTTCAGAAAGACAACGCTGCTCTCCAGTTAACGAAGCTCTTTCGGTCCAAATAATCCTACAATAACCTTCAAGTAAAAAATAACTGCCTCGTCAAAATCTCAAACTTGAAAATTTTTGAAAATGACTGTTTACGAGTTCGACTCGTCAGTACTGTTCGCTCTTCTCCTACTTGGAACAATGACTCCTTTGTCTTCATCTTCTGAACGACTTTTGACTACAGTTCCATAGTCTTCAAAGCCTGGAAATAAAAATGACATGGTAGCCAATAAACGCAGAGTAAAACCTACCTTTAAAATAAATAAGAAACCTTCAATATGAACTCTAGAGATCTCAGCAGAAGCCGAAGGATTAGCTGCTGAGCAGTCAAACAAAGCATTCTGCTTCTCATCTGGAAAAACGCGACAAGTTGTGTTGTTTGATTCAGGGATAACAGCGCGAGAAACTGTCAGTCGAACCGTTGGTGCTGATGGTCCTGAATGACATAAAACCTCATAAATCAAATCATAATTAACAAATTAAATTCAGTGAACCACTGGCCAACTTCACTCACCGATAGTTTTCAAGCATTTCGTAATTGCATCGCTTGCCTCTGAATTCTTTCTTAATGCCTTTAAATTGACGCTTTCAATACCTATAAGCTGATCATTCACCCTTAATCTGCCATCCTTATAAGCTGCACCTCCATGGAGAACCTGAAATTCCCGAAGGAGACTCAGAAAATTAAAGAGGCACTTCTCCGAAAAAAAGCAGAATATACACAAAAAAAAAAGTGCCTTCTTAATGAAGATTCCGCAATCTCGGCGAGAGCCATCCGGCTTCATAATTGCTCGGGATTTGAGACTTAAACCAAGACCTGCGCTCCCAGTATCATTCAGTGGGATATCAAGAACCAAAATTTCTTCAAGCTTTCCATAATCTTTCCCAACTCTAAAACCAGAAAAAAATTAAAAGAATAAACAGAAGAGAAATTAAAAATTCAAACCAAAGTAGTTAAAGGTTCATGTAATAAAACTGTAAAAATTGCCGGAACACCTCCGTTTTTTATCGAACATAATAGAACTCACTTTTCGGTTTTATTCTCAGGTTCACTTTGCTCAGGATCTTTTATGAGACCTGTAGCTAACCTAGGTAACTGGTCCTCGTGCGAGCCCTCAGGTTCTTTTTCCATCCGAGAAATAAGAAGATTAACTTTATCCCCAGACTTATATTCCTTCAGGCGAGCTACAACATCACTTTGCTGTAAACCTTTCGTTGCTTCCTCATCAATCTAAACGCTGTTGATTAAATTACAGATTAAACAATTACTGTGCAATCTTTAAAAGATCCAAACCTCCAACAGACGGTCTCCGACTTTCAAAACACCAAAGGCGGGGCCACCAGGCCTGACAGTTCCTATATAGAACAACCTTTCTCCTTTGGCAGTGTCCCGACCAGTGACAGAGAACCCGAATCCTTGATTACCTATAACAATTAATAAAACAGAAAAAAATACTTATAACGATGAATCTTTCGCAACCTTACTTTTTAGTGTAAACCAAGAAAGATGAAGAGGCTAAAAAGCTTCCATGCTAATGCTTGGTCATTACGGTGCCTCTGCATACAGAAATGAAGTGGTTTTTTTCAAAAGAATTAATTTTTATGATTTACTTCTGCCAACACTCAACAGTTAAAGTACAGACGGAACCGCTTACCATAAAAAAAACTAACGCCAAATTAAGCCTCTATTGCGAAAAAAATCTTCCGAGCTTTTTAAAAACATAAAATTTTTTTGAAATAACTCACTGCTATAAGTGTTTAAATCCCGCATCAACAAAAGACTAAAAGATAAGCCTTGCTACATCAAATGTAAGACACTCGTCCAGATTAATTCGTCCCAACGTTTTACGCAGTTAAAAATAGATTTATTTACAATAAATAAAAGTATTCCCTTGCCTAAAGATGTTTGCCACTAACCCTAATGCAGATTTCTCAATAATGCGAAACTGCAGAAGCACAGGTTAATAATGAAACCCAAAAGAGCTCCAGTCGACCATAGCAAGTAGTAGATCACTGATTCTTAAAAGAGAAAACAGCAGTCACAAAAAGTTTTTGAAAAAATTAGGAAATTTAATAACAGAAAAATTTAATAATGTCACATAAATCCTCCTTTTTCTAATTTGATAAAAAGATAATAACTGGCAGTTAACAAAAACCCATGAGAGCTAAGTGTCCCCTAAATACTGCCCAAAAGAAAAAATTTCACCTTCAATGACAGTAGGAATTAACCCATCTTTCTAATATTGCAAAAGAACTATCATATTTGACGAAACAGTGAATGAAGCATCTTCAACCATTGCCTCGAAAGATCTTTACACTGTCTTAAGTAAACGATAACCATATAAAGTAGTGTTTGCCAAAAAAAGATACATGAAATTTTTCTTGACTGGTTTCAAATGACTTCCTGCCAGACTACGTTCCGAAAATAAAGTGAAGCAGACAAAGCAGAATTAAAAAATAAAAAACCTTTCTCAACATGTACGCGTAATGTTGCTCCAATTGCTGTAGTATTTGCCTGTTGTAAAGCAGAATATATTGGACGTTTCATTAGAGTGCTTGCTGAAACTTGGCCGCCTTCTTTTTTTAGATGGTGCTCTAAACCAAATAAATGGAACCTTGTTAAAGAAAAAATGAGTAAATTATATGACAGCAAGGCAATGCTGGATGAAACAGAAGCTCTGAACCGGAAAAACAGCAACTTGGACTATCAAAAGTGTCTATCGGGCGGTTGATCGTCAATGTTGGATGAGCTACTGACAGCAATTCATGCAAATATACACGAGCTCGTGATATTGACATCTGCAAAACTACGAACAAAATGCAAGCTGAATTTCTTCATAACCGGCTTAGGAACCAATAAACTACAATATTAAGGTTTTTAATTTGCATTCTTGAAATCTAAAAAACTGTTCTGCAAATCTACAGAAAAAAATACCAACTGTGTTATAGGGCAAATGCTAAGCAAAACAGGGGTTTTCTCTTACCCTGTAAGTGGAAGTCTAAAAAAATTTTTTTGAAGCCTTTCTATCCCCATACGACTAGCTGGTTTCATCACAGTCCAAGATTAACTCTATAACTTCTCAACTGCCAATTCCAATAAGAAAATAATTTTCACGAAACTCTGACACTCCGCTATATATATACTTGTTTACATAATTACTAATCTAAATGCAACTGTGCAATAATTAACTTGTTTATTGTTTCTTGTCTACAAATCAAATCACAGATTAGTAGTAAAGACCACCGTGCGCTGCCAGTAATTCAAAAAAAAAAAAAAA